TTATTATAAAAATGTTTTCACTGCCTGTTTTCTTATGTGTTTAGATTTTTCTTTCACTTTATATAGTATTTCTCAAGAGGAAGCTGCAATTGTTTGATTTATGTTGTCACAAAGGGTTCATTCTCCCCTCATAGCTTGTTGCTGGCTTCTATAATTGATATGGACACATGACTGGACTTTGTATTGAGTTTGTTTTTTTTTTTTTTTTTTGCGACACGGTCTCCTTGTACCCTCAGCTGGCCTGGAACCTACTATGTAGACCAGGCTGGTCTTGAACACACAGAGATTTGCCTGCCTTTACCTCCTGAGTGCTAGGATTAAAGGCATGTGCCGCCATGCCCAGCATTGCATTGAGGTTTTTAAATGAGCACATTGGTATCTATGGGAATTTTCTTTTTATATTTTTCTCTACAGAGGAGAAATAGGACCTGATTCATGATTGCATTTATCTTTTTGGCATAATCTTGATGCCGTTTTCTTAAACACTGTTATTTCATCCCACATAGGAACTGAATGCCAGCTTTGAAGAATGGCAAAGATTAATGAGAGCTCCAAATTCAGGTGCCATGGAGACTGTTATGGGGTTGATAACACGAATGTTTAAACAGACTGCAATTGCCAAGGTATTCCTTGTTAGGCCATTATGTTTTTGTCTTCATAAAAAGTTTTCAATATATGTTAATGTCTTTAATTAATTGAGTAGGTTAATTATATACTACATCTTGCTATTTTTTTAACTCTTATAGAAAAAGTGAGATGTTTTAAAAATATTTAGTAGTAGGGGCTGGGGAGATGGCTCCGCAGTTAAGGAAGCTGATTGCTCAGAGCAGGTTGGGTTCCCAGCACCCACATGGCAGCTAACAACCCTCTGTAACTCCAGTTCCAGGGGATTTGACCCCCTCTTCTGACCTCCATGGGTGTTCCACGACACAGATGTACTTACATACATTCTGGCAATATACTCATATACATAAAATGCAAATAATAAAATTAAATATAAAAATAATTTAGCAGTATAATAAACTACTTCACACATTGTTTCTTTTCTATGTACATGTATACTTTGATTTTTTTTCGATGTACATGTGTACACTTTCTCATTTAAGGGACATACAGATAATCATCTTTCTTAGCTTTTTGCATGGTTTCACTACATAATTACTGCAAATAATCTGTTTTTAAAAGTTGAGTCAATCACCTTCAGCTTGTATTCTGGAGTTTAAAGAGTTAGATCTGCTCACATTCTTATGAAATTTAGATAGTGTTGGAGTTCTTGAATCATAGTGTGATTTTTCAGGTCAACTTATATTATTGTTTTGACCAGTGTGGTCATGATCAAATCCAGTTCCTCTGAATGAGCAGTAAATGCTCTTGATTGCTGAGTTATCTCATCCCTTCATGCCCAAGTTCTGAAATTCTTTTCTAAAATAATATTTAAGTATAGGTTGTTGAGTTATAATTTATATAATGTGAAGTATGCCCTTAAAGAAAGTACTTTCCTTTTAAGTGTATGCGTGAGTGCCTGCATGTAGGTTCGTGCACTGCATACATGCCTGGGTGCCCTTGGAGACCAGAGAGGGTGTGAAATCCTCTGAAACTGGAATTATAGGTAGTTGTGAGCTGTCTTATGGGTGCTAGGAATCAGACCTGGGTCCTCTCAAGAACAACAACTAATCTTAACCACTGAGCCATATCTCCATCCCCCAAATGTATCCTTTTACAATGTATAGCTGGATAAGGTTTTTCAGCTGTGTATAGTTGAGTCCACACCAGTACAATTGAGATAAAGACTATTTCCAGAACACCAAAAAGGTCCCTTGGGTTTCTCTGCAGCCATTTCCTTTCTCTTCATCCAGACCACGGCAACCAGATGTTGGCTTTCAGACACTAGAATTTAATACTTTGTAGAATATAGTATGTAGCCTTGTTTTAGGTTTCTTTCATTTAGCATAAAGCTCTTTAAGTGTAATCCAGAGTATGCAAAAGTAATTTTTTTCTCATTTTGATGCTGCCTATATATCTTCCAGTGAATAGATAGTTCTTTTTATATATAGTTATTTTTATTATTTCTTCCCTAGTTATTAGATTTTTAGGGTATTCCTAATTTTAAAAAAATATTTTATTTTGAGCCACAAAGTAATTTTTATTTTCTAATAGCCATGTTTAAGAAGTGACAAAAGTAATTTTAATACTATATTTTATTTAACTCTATAAAAATACTATTTCAACATATAATCAATGTAAAATTTCATGAGCTAGCTATCTATCTCTTTTTTTCTTGCACCTGCACTGTGACTGACCACCTTTTATGTCTTTAGGAGCCACATGTGGCTAGGGCTGCCACACTGGGCAGTACAGATTTATAGGGTACAAAGTAGGGCTGTCTAAATTTGGAGGTGATGAGGGGTAGACATGAAATTTCGGTACTTTAAAAATTATTTAGAATTTTTAGAAAGATAGCTAATGGAATTATCCACTTGTTTTCCGTCATCTTAATTTTAAATTTTCTCTAGAAATTGGATCAACTTGATCCAATTTGCCAAGCATTCCTTAAGGAAGAAGAAATTCTTTGCCATAAAAATTAAAATCAGATAATGGTCATAACAGCAGAGATGATATATTAACAATACATTTTTCAGTTTTCATTAATTTCCTGTTTCTTCAAAATAATAGCCTAAATTGCATGCTTACTGTATATTTGTGCATATTTGTTTTATATTACTTTTCATATACAATGATATATATTTAACAATCAGCCCTAGGATTCTAATTTGTCTATGTAGCTCTCCTCCAGAACTTAATGGCATCTTATTAAATCATGATAAATGACAGAGAAGTAGAATGAACCATTCCTTTTCCACTAGATTTGTTTTTAACATGTGACTATGTACCAAGCCAGCTATAAATTATTGTATTTCTGTAGAATATGGAAAATAGTATTTGTCTTTGCTTAATGTTTTAAGTAAACTTTACCTTTCCTAATATATATTTTTTTTTAAAAAATTTTTTATTTTATGTGTATGCATGTATTATTGCCTGCATGTATTTAAGTGCACCTGTGTTGTGCAATGCCTGTGGAGGCCAGAAGAGAGAGTTGGATTCCCTGTTGTGCAATGCCTGTGGAGGCCAGAAGAGAGAGTTGGATTCCCTGGAACTGGAATTACAAACAGTTGTTAGCCACCATGTGGGTACTGGGATTCAAACCCTGGTCGTCTGCAAGAACAGTTAGTGCTCTTAACCACTGAGCTATCTCTCTAGTACCCTATTCCTAATTTTTTAGTGTCCCCCATAATAGTAAGGTATAGTCTCATGAATAAAAAATAATATAATAATCCATTTAAGTGTTTGTATAGGCATCTGTTTTCATTTGTTGTTATTATTATTATTACTTATGGTGTGTGTGTGTGTGTGTGTGTGTGTGTGTGTACATGCCTACAGCACACATGTACAGATCAGAAGACAACTTTCTGGAATCTCTTCTCTCCTATTTTGTTTAGAGATAAGGTCTCTTATTTCTGTCAGTGCAATGTGTACTCCAAGCTAGCTGGCCTGTGAGCTTCCCAGTGATTCTCCTGTTTCCACCTTACCTTAGAGGAGTGGTACAATAATGGATGCATACCACCACCCCCTTTCTAGGGATCAGACTTGGGTCATTAGTCTTGAGTGACAAGCACTTTTACCCCCTTAGTCATCTCACTGGCCCTAGATATCTATTTTTATCTTTTTGTAGACATAAACTTAGAAATTAGAATGTTGTGTCATAGAAAACCAAATGTTTAACTTTGAAAAATTTGCCAAAATGGTTTTGAAGTAGCTATACCATTTTGTATTTCTCTAGCCTTACATGATGAGTTTTTGTCAGTGCATGGTACTGTCATCTTCAATTTTAGCCACCTTTGTGAATATGAGGTGCTTTTTCATTGTACTTTGAATTTGCTTGTCCCTATGTAGGAGTTGTGTTAAACATATTTTCATGCTCTTTTTAGCTGTTCATTTTCTATTTTAATCAAACTGAACCTCTATTTGTATTGGGTTATAAGGATTCTTTATGCTTAGTAATGTGTCATATGTATCTTTGCCAAATTTTCTTCAAGTCTGTAGATTCGTTTTTCTTAGCATTTTTAAAGAATAGAAGTTCATAATTTTAAATTTCCAGTAAATCACTTTTATTATTATTCTGTTCTTGATATTTGAGTCTTTAAAAACTTTCAGCTAATAGACACTTAAAAAGATATGTTATTAGCTGGGCGTGGTGGTGCACGCCTTTAATCCCAGCACTTGGGAGGCAGAGACAGGTGGATCTCTGTGAGTTCAAGGCCAGCCTGGTCTACATAGTGAGTTCTAGGACAGCTGGGGCTACAGGGAGACCTTGTCTCAAAAAGACCAAAAAAGAAAAAGAAAAGATGTGTTATTATATTTTCTTCAAATAATGCTGTAGATTTAGGGTACATAGGTAGGTCTATCAGCTACTTAGAACTAATTTTTAAAATTATTTATTTTTATTTATTTATTTATTTGCATGTGTGTATGAATAGTTTTCCTGCATGTATGTAAGTGCACCACATGTGTGCAATACCTGTGGAGTCCAGAAGAGAGTGACACATCCTGTCAAACCAAAGTTTTGAACTGTTATTAGCCACCATGTGGGAACCCGACTCCTCTGCAATAACAGCCAGTGCTCTTAATTGTTGAGCCATCTCCCAAGCCCCTAAAACTATTTTTTTTTAATGTCTTGAGCTAAGGGGGAGGTTCTTCTGTTATTTTGTTTGTTTCGTGGATTTTGTATGTATTTGGATGTATGTCCCATCATAGTACTCCATTTTCCCATCACAGTGCCCCATTGTGTCATCATAGTGCTCCATCTTTACATCTCAGTGCTCCATTGACATAATACTACTTCAGTATTCCATCACAATTTTTCAGTGTCTCATCACAGTGCTCCGTTGTCCCATCAGTTGCACCATTATGCTATCAGAGTGCTCCACTGTGCCATGACAGTGCTTCTTTCTTGTGCTATCACAGTATATCCATTGTGCCATTTCAGTGTTCTACTGTGCTATCACAATGCTCCATTGTGCCAATCACAGTGCTCTACTGTGCCATCACAGCACTCTACTGTCCCTTCATAGTGCTCCACTGTGCCATCACTGTACTTCAGTGTCCCATCACAGAGTCCACTGTGCCATGACAATGCTTCTTTGTGCCATCACAGTACTTCATTGTCCAATTGACATGCTCCATTGAGTCTTTACAATGCTACATAATCAATCACAATATTCTCTTGTTCCATTATCATGCTACACTAACCTTACATCACAGAGCCTATTGTCCCATCACAGCACTTCATTCTCCCATCATAGACTCCACTTGTCCCATCACTGCTCCATTTTCTAATCCCAGTGATCCCTTGTCCCTTTATAGTGCTTCTTTTTGCCATCACAGTGCTCCGTTGTGTGCAGTGTGGCACTGTTCCTGGGAAGACATGAACAAAGTTCCCAGATAGGAAACTACAGACCAAAATAAGTTGAACCACCAAAGTTCAACTTAATGAGTCAATGACTTCTATTGGGGTTCTTATGGGAGTATAGATGACGAATTATTTACAGGAGCAGAAATGATTCAA